GGATTCAGTGGTGGGTTGCTCCCGGTTCGGCCTGGTTTGAGCGAGCCAGTATTGGTGATGATGTGACGTCAGCGAACTGGTTCTCTATGACTGTGAGCTGGGCCCTCCTGCCCGCCCCCGCATTATACCTACTTTTATTTGTTGTTTTTTAGCCCAGCTGATAGGTGCGGCAGAGTGGATTGCTGCGCCTCAGCTGGGCAGAAATCTAATGCGCTTGCGTGGAGCGCAAGTTTGGCACATGTGTGAGCGAAGCAAGCAGGCGTGCAACAATCGTGCGCAAAGCACATGCATGAAGAGAACCGGTGGTAATACCAGTTGGAACCCATCACTGAGTGGATTAATTTAGCAACTCGGTCGTGTCTAGCTTTGTAATCAGTTTGTGTGATTTTGCTGCATTCACATATTAAATGTGAAACTAAATGTGAAATTAAATGTGACTTTGTTGTTGCAAAGTCGGCAGTTTGTCGGTTGATTTTTGTATCTTTGCTTTCATGGCATTGATTTGTAGTGCTTGTTCTTGAGCAGTGAGTATTAAACCTCTGAGAGGTCCGGGTTTTCCCTCAGTAAATCAAAACCCCCCAAACCATCCCCTCAGTCCTCAGACGATCACATGCTCCAATCACCATCCGTCCCATCTCGAGACCTCACTCCGACCACTCCTTCTCCAGTTGCAGGATCGCCCTGACCTTGACCGACAGGAAGAATGCTATTATGTCTACAGACAACCCCTCTACTAAATCCCCCCTCCTACTTTCCCACACATGACAAGGTGGCAGCATGGAAGTTTCCGGCCTAATATGGCTTCCAAAGCTGACACTTCGTCTATTACTGTTTTTTTTTTTTTGTAACAGCCATATAATATTTTGTCTTGCCATTTTTTAAAAAAATATTCTTAATGTAGTCTGTCTTGTAAGGTAATTTGGTCTCTCTAGTATCTAGAAAGCCCCCCATAGTGTACTAGCTTCAGTGCATGTTCTTCAGTGTCCTTCAGATATTCTTCCAATGCTCCATTTTCCTTCTTCATCTGTCTGGTGCACTTACAACATTCCACACCCACGTACTGTATACTCCATGTTGACAAACAACGCTGAGTTGATGAAGGGCATGATTCATTGTTTTTATCTTTCTGGTCTTACAATCTTATTAGTTCTGTGTGAGTCCAATTCACTTTTCTAGCTGTGTATCTAATAACTGGAATTGCCTCAGTATTAATTGCTTTGATAGTGTTTCCTCCAGTGAGTTTGGATTTTAAGATCCTCTTCACTCTCATGATGTATTCATGTCTAACCTTCTTCTTGACTTCAGTGTGCTTGTTGTTCTAAACTTGAAGGGTGCCCAGTTATTTGTAGTGGCCTTCTTTATTCAGACTCTGAGTTATTTCCATTGGGTATTTTGATACCTTCAGCTTTCACTATTTTTTCTTTGTTGATGATAAGGGTGGCACATTTGTCCAGTCCAAATTTAATTGCACTATCTTAGCTGCATATTTATATAGTGTTGACCAACAATTCTATGTCAAATTATGTTTTTTCATACAGAATAGGATAGGATAGGATAGGATAGGATAGGATAGGATAGGATAGGATAGGGATAGGATAGATAGAATAGAATAGAATAGAATAGAATAGAATAGAATAGAATAGAATTATTTATTGGCCAAGTGTGATCGGACACACAAGGAATTTGTCTTGGTGCATATGCTCTCAGTGTACATAACAGAAAAGATACATTCGTCAAAAAATATAAGATACAACAACACGTATGATAATCATAGGGAACAGATAAGCAATTAAATCAAATCAAATCAAACCAAATCAATCAGCTTCAGACAGTCCATGTAAAGAAGGTGGGAGACCCTGGAAACTGTTTTTATTGTTTGATAGTCATGGTCTAACTTGTTCAGTATTGTTGTCAGAGGAATCAATGCAATGACAAACAGCAATGAAGATGAGCGTCCTCACCATTGCTGTTTGTCATTGCATTGATTCCTCTATTAACAATATTGTTGTTGTTTTTGTTGGTTGCACTGTCAGTCAGATGTTTAGACTGGGTTTGGTATTTTTATTCACCTATTGAGTCCTTCCCAACAGCCTGGGATAGGCAGATGTTGTTTAAACATTTAAACTTCCAAACCTCAGGAAAAACAACAAAAATCCAGTTTTGCCAGGACACCACCAAAATTATAATTCCATACTTGAGAGTCCCAGTGTTCCACCCTGAATGTTGTCCCTCTACCTCCTGACCACTGAAAAGTTGTCTGCTCTTGAAATCATGTGTCAAAATGTTTTGCAACCATCATAAGTATGAACCAGTTGCTAAACATCTGATTTTTTGATCACATGACCAAAGGGATGCTGCAATGGTTGTGTGAAAAACAGTCATGTTATTTTTTTCAGCACCATTTTAACTTCGAACAGCACTAAACAAATGGTTGCTAAGTCGAGGTCTACCTGTATGTTGGATTTGATTTGATTACAAGCATAGGAGCTGTTAGTCTCTCATCATGGCTAACCATTAAACTCATCTAAAGACTTCTAATCATCAAAGTTTATAAAGCTTATGAAAAAGGATTAATAGATGATCGATGTTGCTGTTCCTAATAGTTCATCATTCAGGGGAGAAGTTAAAAATGAATCTTGGGCATACTGCTGCTTTCAACATCCTTATAGACCTGGGTGAAGGTGGTAAGAGGTGGTCATTCAATCAGCACTCCAAAAAAATGTCAAGGACTGGAGCCACACCCAAAATAATTTCAACGAGGGCGAAATGAGCCCAAAGAAAAAGGAAGCAAGCTACCCATAAATGTAAAGTACTGCACTGAGGGAGAAGCAAGTGAGATGCAGAGATCAAAGACGGGTAAAAATAGGTGTGAAAATAATTTAGGGAATTCAATAGACCATGTGTTAAACTGAATCGACAGTGTGATGTGGTTGTTAAAAAAGAGTAAATGCCATTCTCAACACAGTACAGCCTAGTACCATGATGGCGAACCTATGGCACGCGTGCCACCTGTGGCACGCGGACCCATATCTGTGGGCACATGAGCGTTGCCCTAGCTCAGCTCCAGCACGCATGGCTTTCTGCCCTTCTGGGCCCACCAGAAGTCAGGAAACGGGCTGTTTCCAGCCTCTGGGGGGCCTTCAAGGAGGTGGGGAAGGCAGTTTTTGCCCTCCCCAGGCTCCTAAAAACCTCTGGAACCTGGGGTGGGCAAAAAAAGGGCCTACCGGGCCCCCAGTGCCATTGCGTGCCAAAAGTGGGGGGAGTGCAGGGGGTCACACGCACGTGTGGGACGCATTGAATTAAGGGTGTGGGCACGGACACGCGCAACCCCCCCCCACTCCCCCCGCTTTTGGCATGCGATGGCAAAAAGGTTAGCCATCACTGGCCTAATATTATTTCCACATTTTAAGATATGTGGACTTCAATTCACAGAATACTCCAGCCAGATTGCCCCATTGGGATCCCAAAGCTGATTGGCAGAGCCAATCTGGAAGGCCAAGGGGGAGGTGGATCTCATCTTGAGGAGCACAATGTTCAAGAGAGTGGGAGCCATGGCAGAAAAAGCTCTTTTTCTGGATCCCACCAGATGAAAGTCCTTGGTCAATGGGGTCTGCAGCATGCCCCTTCTGTCAAAGTGGGATGAGCCAATCCCATTGGGATTACATGGTTCCTCAAGCAGCTTGGACCCATGCCATTAAGGGCTTTTTGTAGAAGAACAGACAAGAGCCGAGGAGTGGATTTATCAGTCCTTACATTGCCGTAAATGATTCAAGTCCAACTCTCACTGAATTCCACTGACCCTTATCTAGCACTGATTCAAATTTGAACTTTAGTTGACCAGATTTATTGTTCAAGCCTATATACAAGAATCTAATCAACTAAAGTTCAAACCTGAATCGGCACCAGATAAGATTCAAGGGTGGCTGGATTTGGATCGGTTGTGGCAATGTAAGGATTCTGAGCTGATGATGCATTTAACTCCATCCTCATCTCTGCTTGCTCTTCTGCTCCACTTTTGTTCTTTCCCACTGCTGCACTGAAATATACCCAACCCACTCTTAGTGTGACAGGTAACTCTACCAACATGAATTGACTCTCTACATTGCCAATGTCTATCTTGTGTCTGCTGTCTCTGTTCCCAGTCACTGCAGCCACCTGGAAACCCTTCAGGATTCTGGGTAACCATGCCAATGCAGTTTGCTTAATTGGAGGATACCTCTGGATAGAGCTGGACTCAGGAGGAACAGGCTGCTATAAAACTGGAACAGTTGAGGGCAGCCTCAGCTTGGGTCACTCATGGTCTGGGGAGGAGATGAAGAAACTTCATGAGAACATAGTAGGAAGGAGCAGGTTGCCAATGCGGGTCTGTGTTGTGCTTGGGTTAAGGCCCTTTAGGAATGACAGCTATGATTTCAGAGTAACTGTGGCCATGGCTTAAAAATAATATGTGTGCCACAATGGTTTGCTAATGGTTGACCTGGAACATGAGACTCAGCTAGCAGGTTCAGATTACAAGGAAGCAAATTTAGGCTAAACATTAGGAAGAACTTCCAGCTGGCCTGGATAGGAGAATAAAGACTTTAGAAGTTGTCAGAGGACTAGTTCTAAGACACTTAACTAAATAACAGAGTTGGAAGGGACCTTGGAGGTCTTCTAGTCCAACCCCCTGCTCAAGCAGAAGACCCTATACAGTTTCAGACAAATAATTGTCCAGTCTCTTCTTAAAAACCTCCAGTGTTGGAGCACTCACAACTTCTGGAAGCAAATCATCCCACCGTTTTTGTCAGGAATTTTTTCCTTAGTTCTAGGTTTGTTCTCTCCTTGTTTTCCTTGATTTTTTTCAGTGCTGTTGCAATGTCGGTTGCTAAACAAATGGTTGTTGAGGATTGCCTATATTATTTCTTAGCCAAGCCCCCAGAGAATGTTGTCATCTGACCCTAAGCAAGTGTCCCTCTATTCTGCTAACCTCCCAGTCAGAACAAGAAGACAAGGACCAGGGCTTCATGCTATTGCTTTTATTGCATAGGATGTTTTTGCTTTGCTGTTGTTTTACCAAGTTGTAGAATATTCATTTTAAACATGATTTAGCTGACAGGCAACACAGCAGGGGCAGCTGGAGACAAAACGTTTAAACTCTACAAAACATTCAGACGGATAAACATCCCAAATTACTCCCCCCTCCCATTTTCTCCAGTTGTTATGTGCAGAGGACAAGATTCTCATAGCTGGAGGATCAGAAAGGTGCCATGGCTAGAAAGGAAAGGCGGTGGGTGGGCTGAGACTGGAACAGCCTCCATTACACAGTTGATGACTATCTAGGAAGGAGACGGAGTAAGGCAGGAGGAACAAACAGGCAAGGTTGAAATGCATTTGGGGAGAAAAATAAATAAGATGCTGCGGAAAGAATGAATTATGCCTTGTAATTAAGGTGTGCCTATCCTGATGGCACCATATTCCGGATTTTACAGTGAAGGTTTTACAGTGAAGGACCAGAAACACAAAAAACAGCATTTGCTAATGGAACAAGATATATTGATGCCATTCTCTCACTGTTTCTAAAGCAGCTTGGTACACAATTCTTGGCATTTTCAAAAGTTGGCCAAGCCACCTGGGAGCCGGAAAAACTTCTATGGCTTTTTTCCAGATAATGCAAACAACAAAGCCTTAATACAAAACAGGCAAAAAATCTCTGACCTAGAAAAACATTACAACCCATGAAGAAATAAGTAACCGCTCCTCTAAAAACATGCAATAAGTGGAGCTTGCCAAACCCAGCTGGAAGTTTATTTTGCGGAAGTGAGATCATTATTGAAAAACTGTTTTTTCAACTTGAATTGAACCTGGATTGCTGAACCTCAAGCCCTTGAATTTATATTGCAGGCAGGAAAACAAAAACAAAAACAAAAAAAACCAGGGGCACCCTTTGCAATTGATGGGATCTGAATGTTGGCTAAAATTTGTAAGTCAAACCTAGCACTTAAAATTGAGCTACAAACTTAACGTGGAGGTTTTGTTTCCAGATTGTCTCTAAAGGCAAAGACTCAGAAACAAAAATTATAGTTATCTAATCCCAGTGTGGGAGCATTGTATTCCAGAGCCTAAACAAAAAGGCCTTTTATCAATTGGGAGTCAGATGGGTGAAAAATAAATGCCATTTGGGCTACACTAACCAGACAGAATTGCATCAGAAAAGCATGCTCTTTCCACTGTCGAAAGGGTGAGATATAAGATTTGTGTTCATTTGCATCATTTATAAAACCTCTGCAAATAAAAGGGGTACAAGCCAAGTTTTAATTCACACAAACATAATAGGGCCATCCAAGATGGAAATGACGCTGTTGGTGTGGAAATGTTTCCTAGAGATGGCAAAGGGGTTGTAAGAAGAGAAAACAAAATTTCAAATGTTATCTACCGAGACAACTGAAAGGAGCTAAGACCACTTATCCACAAAAACTACATTTCCCAGCATACTCTGCAATTATAACATTCTAGCAGCTGTCAGCAGAGTTTGGATTTCAGCTATTTTATTCTTTTTACAATGTCTTCTATTCCAACTGCAAAGTATAATATAACCAGCTACGTATTTGGCTACCCATTTAATCTATATTTCCTCTTTTTTTCCATGGGGGGGGGAATGAAAAAGTATTTTTTAAGACATCTCTTACCTCTCCTTCTCATTTTTCAACTTTGCTTAATTTCAGCAACCTTGAAACTCAAATCACTCTGTGGGTTACACCAAAGCTGTAGTGTATGCGATAAACATGACCACCACTCAAGTGGTGGGACAGTCTGGGATAATTTGGAAAAGGAGACAAATAATAATAAAAAAAACCCCACAGAAAACCAGTTTGGTGCAGTGATTAAAACATCAGACTAGAAACTGGGAGATTGTTTAAATTCTGCCTTAGCCACAAAGACAGCTGGGTAACCTTGGGCCAGTCACAGTCTCTCAGCCCTAGGAAGGAGGCAATGGCAAACCATTTCTGAAAAACTTTGCCAAACCTGTAGGGATTTTTTCCAGGCCATCTCTGAAAATCCAACACAACGGAAGAAAAAATATAGCCAAGGCAGGAAACATACCTAATACCTTTGCCTATTTTCTCCAAATAACCACCCTGTGAGGTGTGTTGGGCTGAGATAGTGATTGGCCCAAAATCATGCCTAAATTGGGATTAGAATTCAGTTTTCTGGTGATTGGTCCCAAGTCACCCAGTTGGCTTTCATGCCCATATGATGGCCCTCCCATTTTTTGAAAAAAAAAATAAATCCCAGAAAATCTTATAAAATAAATGAGACAGAAAAAAGAGTGAGTCACATAATTTACCAAGTCAAATATAATGAAATAATGAATTGGGGTGTAATTCTCTCCAGGAGAACGGAGCCAATATCATTCTTTCTACATAATTGTTTTATCATGGCTGCTATAAAATTATATCTTGTTGAGCAACGGATCACTCAAATCTTTGTAACTATGTTTTTCTTAATGAATTAACATTTCCTTCAAATTACCAGGATGAAAACAATTCACTGGCAGACTTGCTAAGGATTCTGGAAGCCCCTTTACAGAATTAGCTATCGGAGTCTTCTGATCAGCTTAATCTCCTGGCAGTTCAACTAGTAATAAACTGGTTTAAATGTGTAATGTAAATAAGCTTTGAGTTGTGTAAAGGTTTTAAATCAAATAATAAATCAAGAAATTATAAATAAGCCTTCAGATGGTGCCCTATCCCATTACCAATTGCATGTTATTGCAGGATTTTTTTTTAAAAAAAATATGATTCACATTTTTGTCATTACCCAAAACTTCTGAAACTGCCAAGAGTCAGGAACAAGAATACGCTTCATGTTGCCTATGTACCAATTTCAAGTGGCCTACAAGAGACCCGTCTCTGGGAAAAGAATTTAGCTGGGAAAACAGAAGATAGAAAGTAAGAGAAAGAGGGCTCAAAAAGAAAAAGGGTGTATAAAATGAAAGAAAGGCATTATTGAAGAGAATGAATGGATGATGGATGGATGGAAGGAGATGGAAGACATGGAAGGAGGAAGAATGGAGGGAGGAGAGGAAGGAAGTGACAAAGGAAGGGAGACAGAAAGGAAGGAAGGGACAGAGGGAAGGAGGAAAATAGGGTTTCACTGTTAAACCTTGCTTAAAAACAGCTTTCTTGGGAAGCTAAAATTTACGGCAAATCCCAGAAAAAGATATACAGCCTTGCCTATTATCATCTTTATTTTGAACTGGGCTCTTACCCTGCCCCAAGACCACTGTAGGAGGGGCTTATGAAGCTAGCAGCAAAGAGAAAGGCATTTTCTCACATTCTAGACTTCCACAAAAATGTTCATTAGGTGAGGGCAAATACCAGCACCCAAGCACAGATATATACATAGAAAAAGGAAAAAGTGAGAAAATTCTACTGGCTTCAAAATCAATTAAGCAATCCAAGAATTACTCCTATATGCATATATAAGTAATAAGCTGTTAATATTATGACCATGAGAGCATGTCTAGTATCCTTCTCAAGATAGTTAACTGCCCTTAAGAGAATAAAGACAATACTTGATATTGCTCCTTGCACATAAGGTGGGTCCAGAAAACAAAAAGAAAAAAGAGATCCCTTAATGATCTTCCATGCCACCAGTGCCAAAAATATTCCTGAAGAAGTTAGAGCAGAAATACTCATGTTAATGCAGCAGTAGAAGCAGAGCTGGATTTCTAAAGTACCTACCAGGGCCCATAACCTCAAAGTAGCCCATCCTTCAAAGCTCCCTGGCCCTCTTGCCTGGCTTTGCCACATGGATGAGCAAGGTGAGCACAGGAAGTGCTCCATCCTTCAGGACAATTGAGAAGAGGGCCAAGCCCAATCAAGATGTCTTGACCAAAATATCTCTTCTCCAAAACACTGCCAGAAAAACTTCATGTTCATGCTACCAGCTGATTCTAGGTGTTTTCCAGTCCCCTGAATCAGGATTGTAATCCTGAACATTCAATGGACACCCAAATGAGATAAGCTGTTTCAAAGGATATCTTAGGGGAAGCAGATTCCATGTTCCACACCAGTGTTTCTCAAATCTTGCCAACTTGAAGACGAGCGGACTTCAACTCCCAGAATTCTCCAGCCAGCCCTGCTGACTGGGGAATATAGGAAGTAGAAGTCGACGCCTTCAAGCTGCTAAGGTCGAGAAACACTAACCCAGATCTGTCCCCAATCTCTCCACGATGATGGGAAAGATTTCTAGTGATGGTGCAACCACATTTGGAAGGGTAGAGCTACAACCCACTCTGAAATCAAGAATCCCATGAAATCTCATGGAGAAGTACAACTCAATTCAGCTAGCAGCTGCACACCCATTTCAGATGTTTCTCCAACAAGAAAGAATGGGGATGAAGGGGCCAAACACCAGCACCCTATTATTCCCAAAGCAGTTTTTACAAATACTGCATGGTAACTATTCAACCCATTTCATAGCCAGGCTCAAGCTAAGGAACTTTTGTGCATTGTTGCATTGTGCAATATTATTTGTAAGTATCATTTCAGTTGCTAAAGAGCAACAAGCAGCAGTGCCTTAATATGTTGCCCATGAGGTTAGCAACAACTATAGTCTTTAAAAAGGGGAGAAGAAGGGTTTCATCTATTGGAAGGACATGCTCCAACTTGTCACCTGGAGTCCAGCAGCAGATACTTCTGCCATCATGTTCCCAATGCCGTATTTTTTTTTTTTTTTTACATACTTTGAGGACCTCTCTATAAGGTCCAGGAAAGAGAGGAATTCAGACTTGCATTAGTCCTATCTTTCCCCTTGCACCAAGCTTAACTGTTAGCAGAAAATCAAAACATCAATTAGGATGCAATTTGAAAAGCAGGAAATTATGACGGCATTCAGAAATGGGATATACCAACCACTTAGCGACTGCTCGAAGAAGCTAGTTGCGATCCAGATTTCAAGTTCTAACACCTGCCCCCTGATTATGTGATTGTATTATTGGCACTTACAACCAGCCTGCCTTTACTCATTTGCAACATTCTGCGGTCACATGACCACAATTTATATCATATTTGCTGAAAATCAGCCTTTATTTCCAGCTTCTGGCCAAAAACAAAAACAAACAAACAAACCCAGCCATAACAAACAACGGCTTTGCTTAACAACTATGGCATTCTCTTAACGACCTCCACCAAAAAAGATTGTCCATGATCATATAGTAATCCAATTTATGACCATTACAACTGAAATTGAGGTTCTAAGTCCAGGACTACCTCTACGGGTTCACTCTCCATCCGGAAACTCCATATTTTGTTAGGTTTGCTTCACTTCCAGCAAGCACTTCCTAAAATTAAGGGAAGTTGTTATTTTGTTCCTCCTCCTGCTGCTGACATTTAACAAAGACACAGCTTCCCCCAATCTACATTTGATCAATGGATCCAAGTCTACTATCTGCTCCTCCTTGCTACAGACCCAGCAGCATCAGGATGCTTGTATCTGAGGCAAGTACAAAGTCAAACTATGATTACTCCATGGTGGTAGTGGGGGAGTAAGGAAGGTGATGGCTCTTCTTTGCTAGATACTTTCAAACTGGACAGTACATAGCTTCCTATCTGGGATGTTTTAATTTGGATCTTTTTGCACTATGGGACTTGGGACTATGCACTATGCACTATGAACTTGGGAGGCCTAAATGCCTAAGCTTCTATGATTTGGTTAATGAAATACATCCCAAGGTATCAGCTTCTGGCTTTGTCCCCTTGTTTTTATGGGCTGGATTCTGTGCTTTTGTAACTGCCCCCTCTCTTTACTCTGTTGTCTTTTTTGCCCATTCCATCCTCTTCTTGCAACTCTCCCAGAAGACCAGACAGACCACGAGGAACAGTCATCCTTACTACGGGCTTCTTCTTCACTCCCATGCTTTCTTTCAGCTTGGAGTTTGATGACAGAGCCGAGAAAGGCCAGAGCAATAGGACATGTTCAAATTTGTATGGTAGATGTCCAAAAATGTCCACACGAAGGAGAAAGTCTCGCGCCTTTGCATTTATCTTTCCCAATCTTTACAGAATAACCCACACTCAAGTCAGTGAAGGCCAAAGGCCACACAGTTTTCTTGGAAACGTTACATAACGTTTCCTAGGTTTGCTGTTTTTCTCCCAGGTTCAGGATATTTTTCCAGCTTTCCTACAATTTTGACTTTCCAAGTTGGCCTCTCACTGAAGTATTTATCAGGCAATCCTGCTCAGTTTTTTGAGATCAGCCAGTTTCTACTAAACTTGGCATAAGAACCTGGAGCCAGTTGAGATCCAGTCTTAAGCAAATACTTGCTTTAGGGATTATCACTGTATGAACTTGGGAAAAGTTTGACAAGGGAGATGTTAACCAACTTGATCTCCTGGTTTGTTAGTTACAACAGAGAAAGAGAGAGGGAGAACACATATTATAAGCGTTATCTCATATGCAGACACTTATCTATTACAGTTTTTGGATCATTTAATTTCTTGTTAGCCCCCACATGGTGGGGAGGGGAAAAGCAGCCACCTTAGCACAATTCTTCCCACAAGAAAAATCCAGTTACATTCATCCAGTGTATTCCTAAAATGAAGCCACCTTCAAGTCATGATATGAAAGGGAGATAGTACTTCAAGCTCCCTCTAGCATACCATAAACTGGTTAGAAATCAACAATTGCAGGTTTCAGAAAATAGGGTCCTCTTCCTTTCCTTATATGGCTTTGGTCATCCATGGAGAGAAGAATTACAGGACCACCCAAACGCAACCCCCTGTAAACCAGGAGAGAAGACAAAACAATTGGCCTTAATTAATGTATCTGAACAAAACAGAGAACAAAACACTCCAACAAACAGTGTTTAGCAAGTCATCCAGTACATTCAACGTCCAGTTTCAGATGCATTCCCCTGACCTGTATTTAGGCTGGGAAGCCAGGGGGGAACTGTGGTCTTCAAATATTGTTCCTTTGCCCCAACCCATATGACCAGCAATTAGGGATGGGTTTTGTAGTCCATCAATATTTGGAGGGACCTAAGTTTCCCAACTCCAGTTTATATGGAGGATAGGTAGCCTACCAAGAGTGCATATCAAGAGTGCAACCATCAGGGCCTCTACAGTAAATGAGTCTGCCCTGCTCAGTCTCCATCCTCTAGGTCTTATGAAATGTGAGCAAAAGGTGGATAAGACCTTGGAATAGGAAGGAGGCTGACTGGCCATTTGGAGAAAAGGGACAGAGGAATTCCGTTTCACCAGTGGAACCTAAAGTTTTGCTTAAATGCAAAGTCCAGTGTTTTAAATCAAGTGCTGAAAAACCAAGCTAATTTCAGTTCCAAGGACTAAAGGGCTTTAGTGTTAAATTATTCTAGAACTTCTTGAGCTAAACAACCATCCTGGCCCTACAGTTTTAAATAAACCAGAATTTTGAAGAGACTGACAAAAATATAGGTCAGATAGACGGCTGCTCACTGTCTCCAACCTTCAATAGTGAGAAAGGCTATTGCCAAGGTGTCTCTAAGCTTTACAAGAAGAGCTAACTTAGGGTTAGAAAAGTATGACAGAAAGAAATGCTGGGCAGAATGATGGAAACCCCAGGTGGATAATTGAGGCATTACAAATACACGTAAGGGTTTTACATTTGTGTTCCACTTCACTCAAACCAACAGACTTAAAGCTCAGTGGCTTCTGAGTGATGGAAAATCTTGAGATGGCCTGTCCAGGTGCTGAGTTGAAAAAAGGAAGTCATCCTTCGAATTATTGCATCTCTTGGAAAGCAATGGTTAAAACGCTCTAGATGCATTAATTAGGATATACGATGTGTGCGCTCAAATGCCTAGAAGGGTAATGAGTCATTTTAAGCAGCTTGCCCTCTAGTGGTCGGAGAACAGAATAAAAAGAAACACATGTCAAATTAGAACTGTTAGTCTCTGTAAGAGAATTAACACAACCCGTCAGAAGGTAGTCAGCTTAGACTGGTTGATCCCAGTAACTAAGTTGGCAATCCCGTGATGGATTTGTCCCTGAATGGGTCCATATTCCACCCGTTCCCCATCAATGGTGATGATTCCCTTGTGAGTGAGAGGCTCTATGCGGAAAGCTCGGACGGGGAGGTGTGTAAAATAAGGACTCTCATGGTCTAAATGAGTGCCTTTCTCCATAGCTAAGAAGAGGCGAATCATGGCTGCCCGAGAGATACCTGCCCTGATAAAGCACAGATGGATAAGACCATCATTAAAGCCAGCGGTGGGCATGGTGAAGAGATCTGCCCCTAAGTGAGTCTGGTAAATGGCCAACACCAGCACAAAATCATCCTCCACCGTCACCCAGGACTTGGGCACCGGTTGTCCAAGCGGGACCAGAAAGTCATCCAAAGGGCCGTGCATTTGCCGGGCAGAAGGCAACCGGTTTGGTAGAACTTTGGGCAGATCGGTATGCTGGGACTCCTTGTCTACCGTCACTTCTGACAGGGTTTCAAAACTGAAGTTGGATGCTTGGAAGCTGGAAGAAGAAGGTGGGGAGCTGGGTGAGGGAGTGGGCTCCTCAGCTGACTCCATCTCACGATAGCAGAAGGCTTGGCGCTCCTCGCAAAGGCCCATATCGGAGACTGTGCGGTGGAGGGGCAGGCGTTGGAAGGGAAGACTCCCATTGGCGGCTACGGTGATACTGCGCAAAATCGGCCGATGAGCTGCACAACCAAGAGCAGGAAGGTAGGAGAGCCGGCCTCGGTAAGTGTTGAGGGAAGCTAGGCGAATCATGGTCCCGAAAGTGAACCGAGCTGGGCCCATATGCCGATACTTCTCACTTTCAATGTCCACATCTGAAATGAAGCCCCAGGCCACACTCAGGAAAGAGAAGATTCGAGTGCCTGATGTGGTGGTGATGGAGACCAGGTCCAAGGGAGAAACTGCCCCATGGCAGAGCAGAAGGGTACAGTTTGTCAGCAGCTCCTGGCCCATGACCTGCTCAAACCTGGCCAAAGGGACACAAAAACAAAAACAAAACAGAGGCAGAATAATGAAAACTGCTTACAGTCACTTGCCGAGTGGATGGCAATCCAATCCATCGATCTCCATCTGTTTAGAAGAGCTAAAAAGGGCAGGGACAGCATCAGTGAATAAGCATTCAGAAACAATATATAAGTTGCTAAGGGAGAAACTTGTTAAGTGAGTTTTGCCCTATTTTACGACCGTTCTTGCCATAGTTGTTAAGGGAATCACTGTAGTTGTTAAGGGAATCACTGTAGTTGTTAAGTTACTAACGTGGTTGTTCAGTAAATCTGGCCTCCCCATTGACTTTGCTTTTCAGAAGGTCGCAAAAGTGGATTAAATGACTCTAGGAGACTGCGACCGTCTTCAGTACGAGTCAGTTGCCAAGCATCTGAATTCTGAACCTTTTGGTCATGGGGATGCTGCAACGGTCACATGAAAAACAGTCACAACTCATCTTTTTCAGTAACTCTGAACAGTCACTAGGCGAATGGTTATAAGTCGAGGACAACCTGTGCAGGAAATCTACTTTTACCTGCAAATTTAGCAAATAAACTAGGTGGACAATCATTTTACAGCTGGATTTGTAACCCCCCTGGGGTTTTAACTTTGTTTTTAATCTTCTGGAGGGCTGCCTGCAGACATGGCAATGGTCACTGACCTACATAATTAAACATTTGTCATAATATCTGATTCAGATGATATACAGGTAGTCCTCGACTTACAACAGTTCATTTAGTGACCGTTCAAAGTTACAATGGCAATGAAAAAAGTGACTTATGACCGTTTTTCACACTTATGACCTTTGTACCATCCCCATGGTCATGTGGTCAAAATTCAGATGCTTGGCAACTGGTTCATACTTATGACTGTTGCTATGTCCCAAGGTCATGTGATCCCCTTTTGCAACCTTCCGATAAGAGTAGTCAATGGGAAAGCCAGATTCACTTAACAACCACGTCACTAACTTATAAACTGCAGAGATTCATTTAACAAAAGGTCGTAAAATGGGGCAAAACTCAGTTAACAAATGTCTCACTTAACAACAAAATTATGAGGCTCAGTTGTGGTCGTAAGTCGAGGACTACCTGTATCAATTGTTGATAATTGTTCAAAGACGTCTCCGTGGTCATGTGGCCAGCATGTCTAAATGCTAAAGGCTTACAGAATGCTGTTACCTTCCCACCAAAAGTGGTCCCTATTTTTCTATTTGCATTTTTTGAACTGCTAGGTTGGCAGAAGCTGGGGCAAGTAACAAGAACTCACCCCGTTATGCGGCATTAGGGATTCGAACGGCTGAACTGCCAATCTTTCGACTGACAAGCTCAGCGTCTTAGCCACTGAGCCATTGCATCCCTGTACATATCCCTACAGAGAGAGAAATCTGCCTTGAACTATTCATTCCCGTCTCATATGCACTGGGAGGTGGTTACTATTATTTATTAGTAAATAAGAGATTTTCAAAATTCTAGATCTCAGAAACAATTGCCGTGTGTGTGTGCTGAAAAGGTATATCAGTTCTTAAGCACAAGATCTTCCTTGGGGGGGCACTAAGCCTGTATGAGCTTTTTCTATTCAAATCTACAAGAATAATTGTTACTGTAAACTGCTCGGAGTCACTTAGTTAAGATGGATCGTGTAAAAATGTGATAAATAAATAAATGCATGGCGGTTAAGACCAACATTTTCATCCTTTTTGGCTTGAGAGTTGAGTAAATTACAAGGGAAATGTGAAAATGTTAAATTTTTATAGGATGCGGTGGAGGTCAGCGGCTAAGATGCTGAGCTTGTCGATCAGAAGGTCAGCAGTTCAGCGCTTCGAATCCCTAGTGCCGTGTAACGGGGTGAGCTCCCATTACTTGTCCCAGCTTCTGCCAACCTAGCAGTTCGAAAACACATAAAAATGCAAGTAGAAAAATAGGGGCCCCCTTTGGATCAAGCTCAACTTCTGATAACACACTTTTTCTTGGCTACATTTCAGAAGTGGGATGTTTTTGTTTTCATCCTTGGTCCTCTTTGAACGTTCTAACCTTCAGCCCTGCTATTCCTTAGCAATCTCCCATACAAATAGGAGCCAGGCCTGACCCTGCTTAGCTAAGGATCCAAGACATGATCAGCCAGGTATCGCTCACTGTCAAAATCCTTACAAGTTATTAGGAGGGTGAAACATGGGTCAAGCTTTGCAGGACAGAAACTTAGTAAATGATTCTGATGTTCATTACCCCACACCACAAAGCAGGCCAATTGATGTAAGTGCTCCTCTCTGCCCTAATAAATGCAAAGGTATCTTCTCAAACAGGCCATTTTTATCTAATTAATTACGGGTCTAGTTTCAAAAGCATTGCTTATGAATTGCAGGCACACAGAAGCTGAAAGTTATTATTTGTGTGGAAAGGAAGAAGACTCTGTGCATGCTCCCCAATACTTTTGCATGGTTTAGCTTCACCTATCCAAGGACTGAGCCTTAGAGAACACAAGATTCAATATTGCCACTTTCTGATTTAGGTCACTGAGCTAATTGCGAGGCTAAGATCATGGTGGGCAATGGCCACTCCTTCCCAGGATTTTAGAACAGAACACAATAACAGATTGGAAGGGATCTTGGAGGCCTTCTAGTCCAACCCCCTGCTCCAGCAGAAAATCCTATACCATTTCAGACAAATGGTTATCCGATCCAGTGTCCAGTGTTGGAGCATTCACAACTTATGGAGGTAAGTTGTTCCACTGATTAACTGTTCTGACTGGCAGGAAATTTCTCCTTAATTCTAGGTTGCTTTTCTCCTTGATTAGTTTTCATCCATTGCTTCTTGACCTGCCCTTAGGTGCTTTGGAGAATAGCTTGACTTCCTCTTCTTTGTGGCAAGCCCTTAAATATTGGAACACTATCATGTCACCCCAGTCCTCTTTTCATTAAACTAGACGTACCAAATTCCAGCAACTGTTCTCCATATGTTTTAGCCTCCACTCCCCTAATCATTTTATTGCTCTTCTCTGCACTCTTTCTAGAGTCTCAACATCTTTTTTTACATTGTGGTGACCAAAACTGGATGTAGTATTCCAAGTGTGGTCTTACAAAGGCTTTATAAAGTGGTAGTAATGTCACATTATCTTGATTCTATCCCTCTGTTAATGCAGCTTAGGACTGCATTGGGCAGCTGCAGCACACTGCTGGCTCATATTTAAGTGACTGTCCACTAGGACTCCAAAACCCTCTCACAGTTACTACTATTGAACCAGATACCACCCATATGATACCTGTGCATTTAGTTTTTCTTGCCTAAATGTAGAACCTTACTTTTCTCACCACTGAATTTCATTTTGTTAGGTAGTACTCAATATTCAAGTGTGTCAAAATCCTTCTGTCTTTTAAGCCTATCTTCTGGTAGGTAAAGGTAAAGGTTCCCCTCGCACATATGTGCTAGTCGTTCCCGACTCTAGGAGGCAGTGCTCATCTCCGTTTCAAAGCTGAAGAACCAGCGCTGTCCGAAGACATCTCCGTGGTCATGTGGCCGGCATGACTAAACATCAAAGGCGCACGGAACGCTGTTACCTTCCCACCAAAGGTGGTCCCTATTTTTTCTACTTGCATTTTTTACGTGCTTTCGAACTGCTAAGTTGGCAGAAGCTGGGACAAGTAATGGGAGCTCACCCCGTTATGTGGCACTAGGGATTCGAACCACTGAACTGCCGACCTTTCTGATCAACAAACTCAGCGTCTGAGCCACTGAGCCACCACATCTCACATTATTTTCTGAAGCATTGGCTATTTCTGCCAGTTTGGTGTCATCTGCAAATTTGATGAGTTCCCCGTCTACCCCCTCATCCAAATGACTGATGAAGATATTGAAGAGTACTAGGTCTAAGAAAAGAGTCTTGGGGTACCACACTGCCTACATTTTAGCGAGGCTTTCTCACTTACCCAGCACTGCAATTAATAGCAGCTGCCACAGCATTCCCAGATCCACAGGGAAGAATTCCAAGAGGCATTTTAACTGCTTCCTCCCAGTCAGGACGTTCCATCAAACCATTAATAACCTGAAAGGAAACAGAGGGTGAATACAGGTAGTCCTCCACTTATGACTAGTCACTTAGTGACTGTTCAAAACTATGACCTATCTAGAGGTACTTATGATCCAGATTCAGTTACAATGGTTGTTCCTTCCATAATCACATGACCACACTTTGGGCACTTAGCAAATCTGGGTCACACTTACAGTCCTTGGCAGTGCACTCTGGTTCACATGACCCACATTTTACAAGGGTTTTGTGAAAACAGGTTCTTTACTTCTGGTTTTCTGCAAAACCAGCCCATAACAAACCCATTCAGACTATGAAAAAGTTCATAAAATTGTGTGACTAACATGACTTACAACCATAATGAACAGGCTTCCATTAATTCAAGGATTATCTGCGCTTCTCATGTGCAGCTCTTCATCCAAAAGCCAGAGCAGCCTATCCAAGCAAGTAGGAAATCTAGCACACTTTTAAATATTCTTCCAAAGAATCCTAGATTTTACAAAAAATCCCATTTTTTGTAAAAAAACAAAACAAAACATCAAAATGCTGCTCAACCAACAAGATTCCAAAAAGCAACATTATTCTCTGCTGCGGATATGCAAAAATCCAGTGCATCTTTCCCTGATCTGATGCCCTTCCATTACATGTAGCTGTCAACTTCTGACTATTCAGTTAACAATCATGGAAAGCAGTGGTAAAATCTAAAATTGGTTACTACCGGTTCTGTGGGTGTGGCTTAGTGTGTGTGTGTGTGTGTGTGTGTGTGTAATGTGACTGGATGGGCATGGCCAATTTTTTTTTACTTTTAAAACCATTTGTAAAAAAATGCTTTCAAAAGGTTCTGATGATCCCAGCTGAGTTGCCTGATCGTCTGAGGCTTTTTTTCTTTTAAAAGCCTCTGCCCATCAGGCAACTGAGCTGGGATCATCAGAGGCTTTTAAAAGAAAAAAAGCCTCTGCCCATCAGGCAACTCAGCTTGGATCGTCAGAGGCTCTTAAAAGCATTTTTTCTACATTTTTTTCTGAAGAGGCTGTAGAAAAAATGCTTTTAAAAACTAAAAAGAAAGCCTCTGATGATTGCATGGCTCAACTGGGCATGGGGGGGAAGGGGGGGGGCAGGGATTTTTGTTACCAGTTCTCCGAACCACCCGCCTCCATCGCTACCGGATTGGGCAATCCGGTCCGAACCGGGAGCATTTCACCCCTGATTCAAAGTTATCATGGTGCTGAAAAAAATAAGATCTGTTCTCACAATTATGTCTGTTGCAACATCCCCACTGTCACATGATCAAAGTTTATGAGCTTAGCAACTGGCATGTATTTACAATAGCTGCACAGTTCCAGGGCCACCTGATGCCACTGAGAATGTGCTTGTTTCTGACAAGCAAAGTCAATGGGGGAAGCTGGATTTACTTGACTGCATGCTTCAGTTCATTTTTCATTTTCATTTTCATTTTATTAAATTTGTATACCGCCCTACTCCCGAAGGACTCAGGGCGGTGAACAGCCATGAAATAAAACATATAGATACAAAATTTAAAATAGAGATAAAACTAATTAAATAAATTTGGCTGAACCATTTTAAAACCCCAATAAATTAAAACCAAATTTAAAATTCCATTTAAAAAGAGGAAAAGCTTAGGTCAGGCCAGCTTGATGGAATAAGAACGTCTTAAACGCGCGACGGAAGGTACGCAGATCCGGAATCCTCCGTATCTCCGGGGGGAGCTCGTTCCAGATCGTAGGTGTTAATGATGGGAGCAGAAAAAGGTTGTAAAATCGGGTAACATCACTTAATGACCACATTGAGTAGAGATGGAATTTCTGGTCCCAATTGCAGTTATAAGTCGAGGACTTCCTGTACATGGAAATTAAAATCCCACATATATGGAGGGTACCAATTGAGGAAAGGATGAGCTAACGTAGCAAAAATCTGTCTCAGGAATAATTCATTATTTATATATGATGTCCGGCTAATTTGTCTGCCCATGCACTACGTAGTTTAAACCAGCTGGCTGGGGAATTCTGGGAGTTGAAGTCCTCCAGGCTCAAAGTTGCCAAGGTTGAAGACCCTTGGTTTAAACACAAAAGCCAAAAAGACATACCAGTAGATAGAAAAGTACAGAACAAAATCCAGGAAATTCCAATTTTCTCAATTAGCCTCTTTTTTCCCACTCCCACTTTATACATTGTCACAGCTATCTTTAGATTTTTATCTGGCCATGAAGATATGTTGGTTGGAAGTGAAGACAGAAGGTGGAAGTGGAGAGGTCTTTTCTTTTCCAAATCCCACCCAAATAGACTAGAGGGTTTTAATTTTTTTCCAGTTTTAAGGGAAGCAACAAAGGAGATTTACAGGTAACCAGGTGAGAGAATTATGAATTGTCTTGTTGTTGTTGTGATTTGAACAATATACCTCGTGAAGAAGTCCGTCTCCTGAAATGGCCACAATACCATCCCATTCATCTAAAGAGATACTCTGCACCAGCTCCCGGGCGTGGTTCTGTCTTTCTGAGGAAGACAAGGACAGGCATAAAATTAAGTAGCTGAGCTCCACCTCTGTTTCCTGACCTGACAGCCTGTTTCAGTGTCTGGTCTCCTGGAGACAACTGTGACTTGTCTTCTTTGACAAGGAAGTGGCTATTTATAAGTATATGGAACGAAAACGCTGTTGCATTAATTACTGAATGATTGAAGTTATTGCACAAATTAGCATGTGACTGGTGCTGTGGATGAAAATCTGGGGCTATAAAGTAAATGGCTGTAATTTCCACAGTTTGGTGAATAATTAATTCTAATCATATTTCAGCGATTATGCAAAGTTTAGGTGAGGTGCTTTGTGTTTATGACTTTACGTGCAATGTCAGCAACAGGAAGCATAATTTATTCTCAGTGGTGCAGAACGCTGGAGAGAAGGACAGAAGCAGAGGGAAATTGTGTTTCTTTAAAAGTTTCCTAGGGAAGGCTTGGCTGGAGAAATATTTTCCCCTCATGAAAAAAAACCCAAAACCAAACCCTCATAGCTTCCCCACTCTTGTATAAGTGTTCTTACGGACACCCCTGTTCTTAAATGTTGCAAGATCTTCATGTTTACTTGGTAAAACTTAGTACATTCTAGATCATTCTGCAGATGTAGTCAATCCTGCCCTCTGGAGAACCCTGAAGCAAAGGCAAGATGTAGCAAATTCTAATATTTAATCCTGAATTTTGAGATTTCTTTTAGTTAACCTAATTCATAGATGTTTATGGTTTATGCTACCCAGAATTGTCTGTGATGATAGTTTCATTGTTTTCTACAAGAAACCATGATCCACCAAGCAGATCATCTTTGTGGAAAGAAAGTATGTTCTATTTAGCAGAATTTCACTGAATCTCATGGATCCTCTGGCTGTTAGTTTTCTTTATATCTTTTTTTAAATATGTGGGCTGCCAAGATGATTTTTCACTCCCGGTAGATCAGTATATCCAAAATGGATGAAAATAATATTGAGTTTAGCAGCTGGATTTCATATTTTCAAAAATGGAGCATCAAAACTTGTGGCCTTATTTCTTTGGAGAACTGTTGGTTGCAGCCACTTCTACACATAACAAGATCTAACTTTTGTTTGGAGATTAACTCCACTACAGGGGTGAAATCTACTTATCTTCCCTACTGGTTCGGAGGTACACGCGCCGAACCTTCTGCGCATGTGCCCTGTGCACGGATCATCTGCGCATACACAAACCAGGTTACTTCCTGGTTAAAACCAGGAAGTAACAACAACCAGGCAGGTGGGCAGAGCCTTGTGCTGCCATTGCTACCGGTTCTCCAAACCACCCGCTGCCATTGCTACCAGTTCAGCTGAACTGGTAGCATTTCACCCCCTGCTCCACTATCTTTCCAAGATTAACCTGGTGAAAACATGAATAGTAAACAGACATCTATCCTTCTGTTTTGATGAATTTTGAACCATCTTGGTTCAATTTAGCAGTAAAGTAAGTGCACTAACCTTAATCCCCAACACAGAATACAGGCAGTCTTCAACAGTTCATTTAGTGACTGTTCCAACTTACAATGGCGCTGAAAAAAATGACTTATGACTGTTTTTCACTCTGATGACTGTTACAGCATCCCCATGGTCACATGATCAAAATTCAGACGCTTCACCACTGGCATATATTTTATGACAGTTGCAGTGTCCCTGGGTCATGTGATCACCTTTTGCGACTTTCTGACAAGCAGAGTCAATTGGGAAGCCAGAATCACTTAATCACATTGTCTTCTAACCTAACAACTGGACTGATTCACTTAACATCTGTGTCAAAAAAGGTTGTAAAATTGGGCAAAATTCATTTAACAAATGTTTCATTTAGCAAAAAATTATGGGCTCAAGAGTAGTCATAACTCAAGCGCTATCCATAATAAATTTCATTTCAATAATGTTGGGTGTTCCTCTCCATGTGGGATTCATGCCCAAGGCGGGACTAGAACTCACGGTCTCCTGATTTTTTAGTCTGCTGCATTAACCACTATAAGAAACTAGTTCAAGGTAGGATTACTCTAGTTAAAAAAGGGCGAAGAGTATCATCACCCTCACCACCACCAAGACTGGCATCTTGGAAAATCAGAGTCATTGAATATATTCCCAAATCAGTTTTGCATTCTTGTTCCACCCATGATGGCTCCAAAACATTAAGTCCTTGAAAGGAATTTTATAGTTATGGTTTTTTTTCTAGGACAACTTCTCCCATACTGCTGGCCTTCTGATGCATATGGACTGTGACTCCTAGAATTTCAACTTGCAGGGCCAATAGGATTCTGGGAGCTGCAACCCTAAGGTATCTGGAGGGCACCAGCATGGAGAAGGCTGTCAAGAGAGAAAATCATCTAGTATTCTTACGGTGACTTCCCCTCCACCTTCCCCCCCACCCCTCAATTTAAGCTTTACCTGTTTGGATCAAGTTGAAGCTGACATCTGCCTCGGTAATCATGGGACGGATGTGACTCTGACACCATTGCAGTGCGTTACCTTTGCCTCCAAAGGGGTTGAGCAAGAGGAGTAGGCGGCGGGAACGTGGCAGTAGATTACAGCTAATCTCTGAAGGGGGGGAAAAATAACAAGAAGATTAATCATTCTGATTTCCAAGGAGCACTGACTAAATTAGGTGGATGGATGGATGGATGGATGGATAGATAGACAGACAGACAGACAGACAGACAGACAGATAGATAGATGATACATAGAGCTTTATTGTCATTTTTTACTGTGAGCACACTGGCATATATTAAAAATGAAATTCTGTTGCCCACTCTCAAAAGAAGTATATACCCATACACGTACATAACACACATATACACATGCTATACACATACACATCTATAGATATATCTATCTTACTCACTGTCTGTTTTGAATACATAGCGGAAAGAGGAAACTTGAGCATTCATTGGGTTGATACTGTATGGACAAAGCTGTGACTGAATCCAGATGTCCCTAAGGTGCTTTTCCAAGAGGCAACTGGACTTCCTGATTTTTTTTTATTTGAAGACCTTTCGCTTTCCATCCAAGAAGCTTCTTCAGAGCTGAATAAGCTTCTTGGATAAGAAGAGAAACATCTTCAAAGAAAAAACAGAAAGCTCAGTTGCCTCTTGGAAAACCACCTTTGAGACAACCATGACCTGGATGACTGAGAAACTCCATAGAAGCTGAATCCAGATATTCCGCTTTGGATACTACGAAACCCCCTCCCAGAAAGAAACAAGGAAAACTGGCAATGGAGAGGATGTGTAGCGTCCCTGACAATAATGAGGACTCTGCTCAAGCAGCGCTTACATGCTATGTCCTGGATAGAAAGAAGTGAGCTACTTCTGCTGTCCTCATCAGGGTTAAGTGACTATGGACTTATCTTCAACCTAGTGCAAAACTAAAGTACAAAATACAAGATCCAGTGCTGTAATAAGGGACTATCATCGAAAGCTCCTGATATTCTAATCTGTGCACATACCAGAGATAAATTAAATGGATCTTCAAAAAAGGGTGCAAAGGGCAGGGAAAGTGATTGCTGTGAGAGAAGAACAGCCAAGTTTCTAAAATTTGGTCACAGTCAATGTTTAGATTTGTAAGAAAGCAATCCTAGGTGCATGTCTGAAAGGGAAAGAAATGTAATCAATTACGAGGCTGAATTGATGAAAATCTGCACACAGGGAGTCCTCAAATTGGGACCACAACTGAGTCCAAAATTTCCACTGCTAAGTGAGACAGTTGTTAAGTGAATCTGGCCCTATTATACCACTTTTCTTGCCACAGTTGTTAAGTGAATTGTGGCGGTTGTTAAGTTAGTAACACGGTTATTAAGTGAATCTGCTTTTCCCACTGACTTTGCTTGTCAGGTTGCAAAAGGTGATCATGCGACCCAGGGACTCTGCAACTGTCACACATATGTGCTAGTTGACAAGCAACCAAAATCTGATCACGTAACCATTGGGATGCTGCAACAGCCTTAAGTGTAAAAACCAGTCATAAGTCGATTTTTTTCAGTGCCATTGTAACTTTGAACAGTCACTAAACGAATGGTTGTAAATTGAGGATTATCTGTACAGTATTACATTCACTTTGGGATATCTTCCTAGAATGCAAGGGAAAGCATTCCATCACTTCAGCATTTGCTCAAGGAAACTAGATAAATTCACATTTTAGGAAGCAGAATCTGCCATCTGGTTTCTCATGAAGGCATCTAAAAATGCCAGCACAGTAGTTATAATCCTTTCATTTTGTGCAAGCTTCCTGCTCAAATTCCATCCATGAGATAAAAGCAGCTTTTCCAAACCGCAGGCAAGAAGGAAAGACAGATTAATGCTGAATATTGAAGCCTGCAGTTCCAAATAATTAGTCTTCTCAGGATCTATAGCTAATGTGTGCTAATTTTAGGTCACAGATACTCAGCATTACAACACTGAAACCTCACAGCATTTGAAAGCTGTCTGAATGGCATTTTTCAATACGTTAGCATAAATTAGGACCTTTCATGCAGTGAGCTTGATCTCTGAGGTTGCTACAAGGCTGGCGGCATGTGCCAAATTGTATTGTATTTGCACACATATGTACTGATGTATCTGTATGTATGACTATTAAAAAAAGTCAGTCCCATTCCAATGCAAGATGAAGGGATTTAAGAATTCTGGACTTCAATTTGCAGAATTCCCCAGCCAGCTATGCTGGGAATTCGGGGAATTGAAGTCCAAAGCTCTTAAAATTGTCAAAGGTTGGACACTTCTGCTCTAGCTCTCCAGTTCCACTGTGACTGTTGGTTTAAGTAACTATTCTGACTTTTATTATCATGATCTTGAATTTATCTACTATTGATTTTAGGGAGGAAGGCAAATCTCCTCCTTATTTCTCCACTACACTATCCATTTTTCTCTTTTTTCCCTTTTAAAATACAAATTTTAATTGGCTTTAATTTATTGGGGTGTTTTAAATCTGTCTTCGGCCAAATTATTTAATTCGGTTTTATTCTGTTTTAAATTTTGCATTTATGTCTTTTTATCTTGTGGCTGTTCACCGCCCTGAGTCCTTCGGGAGTAGGGCGGTATACAAATCAAATAAAACAAACAAACAAACATTGATAACATATTCTTAAATCCAAGAAAACAAAACTTCCACCTTCAATTCTTTGATGTCAAGTATGAATTTGCTAAGAGCCGGTTGGGGTGGTGGTTAGGTCATTATGCTAGAAACCAGAAAACTGTTTAGTTCAAGTCCTGCCTGAGGCAAAACGCTAATATTATTTTGATTTCAGCTGACATTTATTCCAGTCCTGCCCTTTTTAATAATGTATTCAGTGTACAACTCAAGAAACATGGGACTGAGCTGTGTACTCATTTCACTCCCTTCCCTACATCATCCATTTCTCTAAATTCAGTTTGTTAGCACATGTTCTTCTTCCATAAAGAGCTTCTTCATAAGAACAATGAAATCTTCCAATAAGTTCATTAGCTATCATTCTACATTTTAATATGATTGCCACAATTCGTTCTGTGCCATTTTACACCTTAGCATTTGTATTTATACATCAGTTGTGGTTAATTTTTAAATTATCATTAACATTGATGTATTGTTTTTAACTTGGAAATGTTAACCTTGTTTTTTAATTTTGTTTTTAACTGTGCTTTTCTTGCTCTATATTTATTTATCCTGTGCTAATGCTCTGCTATGACATTCATCTATTTTTCTGAATCCTGTCTGGCTATTTAGCACTTCTTTCTCAGTACATTGTGTATTCTTCTTTGTGAGTTCTTCATTGAAATTTGACTTCCATGAGGAATTAGTTCAATAACATGCATACTTTTTCGCATCTCATTTCTTTGGTAGAGATATGTAAGACTGTACATTATCTAATTTCTTGGTTGCACGGATTTAATTCATATTGGTTGATATAGGGAGGTTAAAACTTTAACTCTTTCACACTGATGTTACCTAGTTTGGGTAATGAAACATCTGCGACAAAACAACCAAGCTCAGAGATCACCACGGACCCGATATTTTTCTTGCAACTTTACACATTCAATAGTGATTCATCTGAGCTTAGTGATTTCTTATTTGATAATAATTTGATAATTTATGTAATTCTTATGACAATAATTTGACAGAGCAATTGTCTATTGTACCTTATTTTCTAAGGATTGTCACTTATATTGTTGAATATAATATCTCTCTGCATACGATTCTGTCCTCCTGTCATTTCTTTGTGAAACATTTTATACTGTAGTACACGTAGTCAAGTTACAACTATAATGGAGCCTGCCCATCATGGCTATAAGTTATGAAGGGTGTAAAATGGTCATGTGATCAACCTGATTTTAATGACCTTTTTTTGTGGCAGTCATAAAGCAAACCAATTGTTTGCTATGGATGTGATTTTGCCAAAAACTGGAAATAAATACCATTTTTTGGCAAAATGGTTGTAAAACACGGTCACATGACTAATAGGACACTGTGATAGGCTATATATACGGCCAGGTTGCCAAGTGTCTGAAGTATGGTCACATGACCAAGGGATGACCGTTGGAACTTTGAATCTGGGTCATAAGTACCTCCCCCCTGATAGGTTCAATGGAACTTCAAACGGTTGCTAAGCAACTGGCCATAAGCTAAGGACTACCTGTATTTTCATCTTTCATTTGCTTCTATAGGGATAATTAGAGTATTCTTGATATTCTTTCTTAGCTGTAGTATTTTTAATCTTGAAATCATCTTATTTTCTGTTGTTTTTCTCCATTTGTTGACATTCTTGATGGAGATTTTTTTCTTTTTCCTTTGTTACTTTCTGTTGGATGTCTACATTGAATCATCATTATCCTGTTCTGGTTTATCCAAGGCTTCTGCTCTCCACCTTTCTTTAGCTATGCAGGTCGTTTTAAAACCCATTTGAATTTTTCTTCTTCAAAATTTTTGAGATTCCTCACTTCAACCTTTAAAGTATATCTAATCTCTTCCAGCAGTGTTCACCTCATAATTTAAGCCTAGTGAATCTGCTTTTAATTGATCTTAGATTCTGATTAGACATCTTCCAAGTCAAATCTTGTTAAATTATTACCAAAACTGATTAATGTTTATTTCAATCTGCACCTGAAAATATTCTGACTGACTTGCACTTTTCCATATTAAGATCCCCATTTGATTCCATTATGTGTATTGTCAAATATTTGTTTTTTGACGATATTGCATTTACTTAATCTACATCTTCTTGTTTAGTACTTCCACTTTCTTTTCTTTTATTTTACTCCAGTCACCACTGGTGATACTATATGCTTTCCTGATGTTTTATTTAGTTCTATTTGCAATTTGCCCCTATAATTCTTCAGTATACATCATTATTGCTTCCATAATATAGATGTTAACTAGATATTGGTTAATTCTAATAAACACAGTCCTATTATTTATTGGGTTAAAACCAAGGGCTGTACATATTTAGTAATGCTAAAATTTTGAACTTCACTGCTATTTTATTCTTTCATATTGCAGTTGATACACCTTCCATTATGAATCACATAATCATCTTATTTAAAGTGATTAACGTGCTCTATCTGCAATCACTTATTTCTAAAATATCCATTTCTATTTTGACAATTCAAAGTTGTTTCATGCTTTTCATACTCCATCTTTCCCTTGCATGAGTTCTCATAAAGCAAGAAATTCCTCTTTAGATATCAGCACTCTGAATACTCTTACAGCTTTGGTCTAACCATACCATCACTTGTACACCCACTCCTCATTTAGTGACTACATCAGTTAGTGACCATTCACAAATATACTGTACTAAAAATTCATTTTCTGACCAATGCATGCCTTTATGGCCATGGGGTTGTGTGAGAGTAACATTGGCAAAGCTGTAAGATAAAATTTTATCTGAATGAGACAGCAGCAACCTGTAGGAGATGACCAGGCTAAGCCTGAAGGAGGTGTCAAGCACATCATCACTTTGAAATCCCTTTGCTCTCACAAGGGATCTAAGTCCAGGGTTGATGCTTATCTATTGCCAATTTGCCTTGAAGATTAGTAGTTCAGATTCTTGTTGAGAGATAGTGTGGAATAAACACTATTTATTCATTTGAATAACTTTTGTTTCCTAATTTCTTGCACCTGACACAACCACTTATCTTCATAGTGCCTTTCTCTTGCTCAATTATGGGTTTCATTTTAGGTGAATATTTCACCTAAAGACTGATCACTAGAACAGAAATCAGTTGCTAAATGTGGAGTGGGTGTATTACCTTGTGAAAATTCAATATTTTTTCCTCAGTAATTAGAGGAGTGTTTCCTGACTTGAAGGTCTTCTTATCTGGTACCCAAACCTGTCTGAATAGTTTAATCATACAGTTTTCTTGCTAACAGGCTCTGTTGTCTAGGAAGCTACATTTGGCAGTGGACCTTTTTGGCTATGGCATCTGCATTGTGGAATATTTTACCTCACAAGGTAAGGATGACCCCATAGCTTCTGAATGTCCTTCAAGACCTGATTATGCCAGCAGACGTGAGGAGCCCAAAGGACAGGTGAATTAGTGGGGTGGCTGTTTTTATAGTTTTTAAATTTTCTAATAATTGTTAACAATACTGATTTTAGATACTTGTTGTTTTAGTTTTGTTATACCCTGCCCACTTAGTACTTATAATATGGGTAGTTATATAAATTAGAAAAATAAGATAAAAATGTAACAGCAATTTATTGCTGCCTTTATTAGAGTTGATTTTGGAATTTCTTCTTCTAGATGGGATGGTTGTTTGTATGATTGCAGAGTCTCATCATGCATATTAGTTTGGTAAAAAAAAATTTAAAGTTTATTTAAGAATAAACTTAAAAAGTTAAGATCTAAGAAGTAGATCTGGACTTCACATAGCTTGAATTTTAAAGGCAATACTAATGGAAACTATACACCATAGAGAGCTCTTCTAAATGCAAGGACAGTTTATTAGCTTTTACGTGATTTAGAGATTTGGCATTTGTATTGAGAACTTGCTGATCAAGACCATGTTATGCAAGCAAAAGGTCAAATATTGGCTCCAGCTACTAATCATTAACTATTTAATTAAATTTTATAGAGATATAAATCTTCATAAGCACAAATATGCACAACACATTAAGCAATTGCATATTGGTATTTGCCAAAATTTTATATAATCAGGCTTTGAAGATAATTAGAAATAATTATTTATTCAACTTTAACCACTTCCCTCAACTGAGGTTTAATGGGTATAATCTGTAATAAAACCTCCAAAGTATAACCAATCAAATAAAAAATAAGCCCAAAAATATCACCAAATAACATGAAAAATATAAGTTCTAACAACAGCAAGAAATAAATAAATAACTAGATGGATGTATTCAGATGTCAAAAGTCCTCTTCAACAATTCCAGTTTAACCGTCTGGTCGGTGCAGGACTGGACTGTCATAGAAAACATTACAAATGACCATCCTATGTCTATAGTGGTGCCTAAAACTGGTTTAATAAGGGCAACTGTCAGAATTACCTAGCCAGCCATGAGGAATTATGTGAGTTAAAATTAAAGTCCACACCTTAAAGTTGCTAAAGTTGAAAAACACTGTTCCAGATGGAAGCTTATCCCAAATTTTGACTGTTTTATCATGCTGCCTAAGTGCAACAATCTGGCACAATTCAACTTACGGTTATTAAAAGCCCCATGCGCTGTAATGCACTAACAGCAAATAAGGACATCTGCAGAATGCCACAAAGCATGGCATCTTCTCTTTTCCCCCAAACTCCTGTCAGATGAGCTATAGAGAAAGGCAAACGTTTTCTAGGATGATGCTGGTTTGTGGAAGAAACTTTTTCCAATGTTTACTCTGAATGCACAGAATGTATCAATAGGGGTGAGAACTGAACAGGTACTGTACTTAAGCCTAGCTTAGGTTGGTGCTTCCAACAGAGGGCAGAGCCAAGGCAAAGAAATGGGTGGGGCCATACATAATAATCTGACCTCCAAACAATTATTGATATTATAGTTATATAATTATTCTGTTTAATAAGCTTCCCCATTTCTAGAGTTAGGCAATTACTTCTGTAGTGGTTTGGCTCGAAATCCATAACCATAATTTGAAATGGAATCCTGTTTGCTTTCACATAGAAAACATGCAACACGGACTAGAGTTACTGTATTCTACTTTGACTTTCATCAGAGTTGAAGTGGAACAAATTTCTTTATCCAAGAAATGCCACCTTCTCCTTTCTACATGGCAGTCTTTTCTGCTGTTTCTTTAAGGTGACCTTACCCAACTTCCTACCTTCCAGATATACAGGCAGTCCTGGATTTACGACCACAATGGAGCCCAACATTTCTGTTGCTAAATGAGACATTTCTTAAGTGAGTTTTGCCCCATTTTACGACCTTCTGTGCTACAGTCATTAAGCAGGGTCCTTGATGCTCTATGAGCACCAAGGACCTTCATTTCCAACCTGAGCGATATAAATATATTTTCCTTTATTAGTACAGTTAAGTGAATCACTGCAACTGTTGAGTTAGTAACAAGGTTGTTAAGTGAATCAGAATTCCCACTGACTTTGCTTGTCAGAAGGTAACAAAGGGTGACTGTATGACACTGCAAATGTCATAAATATGAATCAAATGTCAAGCATCTGAATTTTAATTATGTGACCAGGAGGATGCTACAATGGTTGTAAGTATGAAAAATGGCTATAGGTCACTTTTTTCAGTGCTGTAGTAACTTTGAATGGTCACTAAACAAACTGTTGTAAGTCGAGGACTACCTGAATTGGACTTCAACTCTCATCATTCCCAGCCTGGTTCTAATGCTAGAAAGCCAAGCAGGAGACACTTACTTAAAGCAAAACTAAATGCAGAGATATAACACAGGTAGTCTTTGACGTACAGCCATTCATTTAGTGAGGGTTCAAAGTTACAAAAGCACTGAAAAAAGTGACTTATGATCACTTTTCACATTTACAACCGTTGCCAGCGTCACATGATCAAAATTCAGGCACTTGGCAACCAACTCATATTTATGATGCTTGCAGTGTCCTGAGATAATGCGATCACCTTTTATTACCTTCCGAGAAGCAAAGTAACTTATGACCGTTTATCACATTTACGACCATTACAGCATCCCTGTGGTCATAGGATCAAAATTCGGACGCTTGGCAACTGACATGTATTTATGACGGGTGCAGTGTCCTCGGTGGGGGTGTGTGTGTGTCATGTGACCACCTTTTCTGACCTTCTGACAAGCGAAGTCAATGGGGAAGCCAGATTCACTTAAGTTACTAACTTACTAACTTGTTACTAACTTAACTGCAGCAGTAGTGGAATTCAATTTTTTTTTACTACCGGTTTGGTGGGCGTGGCTTGATGGGCGTGGAAGGGGAAGGATACTGCAAAATCTCCATTCCCACCCCACTCTGGGGCCAGCCAGAGGTGGTATTTGCTGGTTCTCCGAACTACTCAAAATTTCCATTACCGGTTCTCCAGAACCTGTCAGAACCTGCTGAATTTTTACCTCTGAACTGCAGGGAAGAAAGGTTGCAAAAGGGGGCAAAACTCATATAACAACTGTCTTGCTTAGCAACAGAAATTTGGGGCTCAGCTGTGGTCGTAAGTCGAGGACCACCTGTATTGAGAGGAAGGAATATTGTCCTCTCCTTTCTTGCCCTGCTTTGTTGGGTGAAGAGGGCCACTCTTGCACAGAGAAAGCTTTGAAATTGAAAAGTGAATGGGGTTGGATCACCATAAAATACAAGAGGGTGTTTAATTTGTCCTTTACAGCTGCTGTGGGAAAATGCCACAACCCAAGAAAGAGGCTCCCTGCACTGAAAGACTGGTGACTTTGCAAAATGAGTGTCTGGCTCCAATCTGAAGGACTCCTGTGGAGTTTCTCACCATTAAACTGCAATGCCAGCAGCTCTGTCTGGGATGCAGAAAACGTAACACTCTCAGGATTAGGATTCTATCATGGAATCTTGGCTTATGTCACTCCCCATAATGTATCTCTGCCTTTTGGTGTCTCCCAGGTAATCATGGATTCCGTTGCATAGCAGTTGGGGAAGTGTAGTGCCACATTTACACAAAGGAAGAACAAACTGTTCCTGTGTTTGTTTACAAGTTGTCCTCATGTTTGCTTGGCTCCTAAATTCCAATAATTACCCCCTCCGCAGTCACATGACCCCAGGCACTTGGCCACATTTATGGACATTTACATAATTCTTTCGTTTTGTGACTGCATTGTACAACAGGTTTGCTGAAAACTGGCATTTATTTCCACTTTTCAGCAAACTGGCCCATAGCGAAACATTGTTTTGCTTAACGAGCGCGGCAAGAAAAGGTAGTGAAATCAGATCAGTCGTGTGAGTGACCAGATTTACAATTGTCATGATTTAAAACTGTGATGAGCAGGCACCATTACGATCATAAATTGAGGACTACCTGTATTATTACCATTAGTTATACTCTTGTGCCCCTTTTTCCAAGACTCTTTCTACAGTAGACAGCAATGGCAATTCAGGTATGTCCTCAACGTACAACCACAGTTGTGCCCAGAATTTATGTTGCTGAGAAATGTGTTAAATTAATTTTGCCCCATTTTACGACTTGTCATATGTGTTAAGTGAATCATTGCAGTTCTTAAAGAGAGATGAAAGAGGAGTAGAGAGATGGAAGAGAAGGGGAGAAGAGAGAAGGGAGGAAGGAAGAGAGGAGAAATCAGAGTAGGAGAGAGGGCTAGACAGGGAGGAAGAAAGGAGGAGAAGGAGAATGGAAGAGGAAGCAGAGAGGAGCAGGAGAGGAGGGAAAAAGAAAGTAAGAAGGAAAGAAGAGAGGGAGATGGTAGGATTGAGAAGAAAGATTGGTGTACAGCAAAAAAGATGAAATGGAAGAAGGGCAACCCCGAACATATATAAATATATTAAGATGAAGAATGAATGGTTAAAAAATAAAATAATAAATATGAATAAGCAGGAAAATTAGAATTTGAGAGCAAATGAAGATGTTATTTATATAAATAAGCAAAGAAATATTGAGAGATGATTAAAAAAAGGGAAAAAAGAAAATTGTGGCAAAAATTGTAATTGAGTAAAATATATTTGAATTTGATAAATTGTATCAAAAAAGATGTGGGTGGGGGCTTCCTGTCTGGCTTCCGGCGCCGCCAGACGGTCCTCCGTGACCGCCGCCCCGTTGCCTGTAAAAGAGCCGCCTTTATACCTGAAAGGCGGCTCGAAAACTCCATTTCCCGATGGAAATGTGAGTCTGAGCAGGCGGGGGTAGGTAGAGCCCTCTGCGAAGTCCCCAGAGTCTTTTTTAACTCTTGGGGACGAGCAGGTTGGAGCTCCCTATTTCCCCTCGCCGTCGCTCCGGGCATCGGGTGCACTCTGCTTTTTTGCAGAGCCAGGCGCTGGAACCGGATCAATTAGCATTCCATCAGCCGAGAGCCCAGGGGAGGGGAGGGG